AAAAAACAGCAATTGTAAGAGATGAAAAACAAGTAAGGTGATCCCTATGATTGTCCCAGCTGCTGTCTAGGGAATGTTTCTGGGCCGTAGCCTAGGAAGGGGAAATACAGGCACAGACCAGTCTTTCAGAATTGAAGAGATGTAGATGGGAGTCTGGGAAAGAAGAGCGCTACATGGAGACAGAACTTTGGAGATCTGAAGAAAATCCCCTCAAGTATTCAACTGAGTACTGATCGTCTCCTGTAAGTGAAGATACTACCGAAGGCCAGGGAAAGAACTACCCAAAAGGAATATAGGGAATGGTACCCAAGTTCACATGGGCTAAGAATAATACCTATTCCAAAAGCCAGAATAGAAAACTTCATACTTCACAAGCCGTCAATTAGAGTACTAATAAAAGTCTTCTCACAGTAGTGTGGAAAATTAACCCTAGACTAAATACAGCTCTGGACTCACATGACAAAGCTTAGAATAAAGACTCAAAAGGATCAGGCTGTTTTCAAATAATTTAATCACATCCCAGAACAAAGCACAAGAATACCCATAGTGATACAAAAAATATCCAGCACCTCACTAGGTAAAATTTATAATGTCTGGTACCCAGTCAAAAATAACCAGACATATAAAGAAGCAGGAAAATAAATCTGTGATGAGGAAAAATATCAATCAATTAAAACTGATTCAGAAATAACAGAGATGACAGAACTGGTAGATAAGGATAAAATAATTATTATGATTGCATTCCATATGTTCAAGAAGTTATGGAAAAGACTGAATGTATTAAGTAGAGACATAAAAGACATTAAAAAAATCCAGATCAAACTTCTGAAGACAGATATGTATGAGATGTAGGAGATGAAAAATATAGGGATTTAATGGCAGATTAGACAATGCAGAATAAAAGATTAGTAAACTTGAGGAATTTCAACAGAAACTATTCAAAATGAAATACTCGCCTAAGCACTACTTATACTATTTATTCTTCAAGTAGTGGGGAAAAAGACTGAAAATAAATGAAGAGAGCATCAGCAAACCATAAAACAAATTCAAGTGGCTAAATATGCTTATAACTTCAGTTCTCAGAGGGAGGGGGACGGAAAAATAGTTGAAAAAATAATGATCAATAATTTTCCAAATTTGATGAAAACTATAAACCCACATTCTAATCCAGATTAGAGAAGTTCAACAAACCCTAAGCAAGTGAAACATAAAACTATACCAAGGAACAACTTAATCAAATTGTTTAAAACAGTGATAAAGAAGAAATTTTATAAGCAGCCAGAGAAAAAGAAACATCACAAATAGAGAAACAAAGATAAAAATTACAGATTTCTCAACTGAAATACAATAATACAAGCTAGAAGACATAGGTACAATACTTTAAAGTACTGAAAGCAAAAAGGAAAACTAACATCTTAGATTTATTTAAACAGTGAAAATATTTTTCAAAAATGAAAGTAAAATAATATCACTAAAGGTAGTTTTGATAAGCTAAAGATGTATACTATGAACTCCATAGCACTAAAGCTACACAACAAAGCATTATAACTATGTATTAAATTTTTTATCA